GGCTGCAATGATGGGCTCAAGTATAGCAGGGATTGTGGGGCTGGCGCGGGATCGGGCAGTGTTTCATTCTGCTGTGCATGGGGTCCCTATGAGTCAGAAACGACTCGACGGCACTTAACAACAACAACAACAACATCATAAGAATATTATTCTCTCTCTCTTCCCATAAATCTAGTTAAATAAAATTGCCCTGTTTTCAGGTTACCAGGACACATGTTTCTATATTTTAGTAGGTAGTATACTGTAGGTAATAGGGAATAAGTATCATTTTAAAGGACTTTATAGACAGGAGAATATGAACTCTACAAAGAGGCAAGGAGAATGAGTCAAGGACATACTCTTACTCTCCCCAGTTGTGCCCCATGCCATGACATTATCACTTTGTCATCACATGCTTGCATGCCCAATCGTTCCTCTTAATTAACATTGCTTTTTGGCTTTTTCCAATAATTACTACATTACTGTTGCTACTATTATTTTATTGTTTCAGTTCTTAACCATTAAAAATACAGCACATTAACATGGATACCAATACTAAAGAGTCCTACTTTCACAAACCAGTTTTAGAGTCAGTATCAAAATGAAGCACTCTTAGGTAAATCCACTAGATCACTCTGGTAAAGAAATGTTGCTACTGCCCAAGATGTAGATGACAGGAAAAACAGTATGCAAGTTCCCCTTGAGCATACAAGTAATAGTAAAGCAAAATGCTAACACTCAGCATTTGTGTGACTTTTTTCAGAAAGAATTTTACTGCTTCTGGATTACCAAATGCCTTAAATTTTTAAACTACTTAGCAGTATATTATATTCATGACTTGCTAAAATCAGACAGGAATTTATGGTGAGGCACCATTAAATCTGCCTTATCAGTGCTATCTAACACTGAAAGTTACTTGTATAATCTTACAAAAGGTCAAAATTACAAAAGGAAATTATAAAGTAAACAGTACAAAATAGTCTTTTTCCAACATAGGAAACCTCGTCACTAGTCATCAAAGAAAATTCCAGGGCAGACTGCTGAACAAATTTATTCATTCATTCAATAAAGATTTATTGCGAACCTACTGAAAGAGTTGGAAACACAAAACCAAAACCAAACTCACTGCCATCGAATAGATTCTGACTCATAGCAACTCCCACTGGGTTTCCGAAGCTGCTTTACGGAAGCAGATCACCCCATCTTCCTTCCACAGAGTGGCTGATGGGTTTGAACTGCTGACCTTCTAGTTAACAGCCAAATGCCTTATCTACTATGACAACAGCAGAACACCAAAAGAGTTCTTGCCCTTAAGAAGCTTACAAAAATATATGAAATTTTAATGAAAGTCTACCTGCTTCCAGAGATGATAACTTGTCCTCCATTGTTTTTATGGTGGAATTTAATTCTGCTTCCATTTCTTTTTCAAATTCATCTTCACTCGATGATTCACTTTCTCCAGTAAGACATTCTCTGATGAGTTTTCGTTTTTGATCAGGAGTTCCATGTAAAAGAACATCAACTTCATCTTCAGAGCTAATATACATTTAAATTGGAAGAAATATGAACATTAAAGAACTAAAGTAACTTAAAACTCCCACAATCTCACTGCCCATCAATAATTTTAAGTTTTACAAAGTTATATATATTTCATATGCTTATCTTACATTCAGCTTTTCTCTCTTAATAAATCAACCGTGTCTACATATTTCCATATATATTTTTTAATGTTTGAATAACATTTCCTCTTACAGATGTATCATTTTCCATGCTATACATTTATTCCTAACTTTTTGCTATTAAACACTACAATGCATTCCTCTACGTATATAATCTTATTTCTGTTGACTTCCTTAAAATAAATGACTAAAAAAAATCTTTCTGACTTTTGGTACTGTCATACTGCTTTCCAAAAGCATTGCAATAATTCATTATTTCATCAGCAATTAAAAGTTTATCTCACTGAACTGTTTTTTTTTTAAATTCTAGACAGTTAAACAAAACTTAATATACACTACTAACATAGTCACATAAAATATAAGTTATAAGATAATAATTAAATATTATAGTTTAAAAGTCAGTAGAGAATGCTGAACTATCAGGTATGTCTAAGCAGGGAGTGTACCCATGACCATGTATAGGGTTGGCAGACAATGGTCCTATAGTGTATTTGTATGATGTGAATTCCCAGGTATATAGTAGAGCTGACAAGGGACAAGGCTGTAGTCACTTCTTGGTCACAGCCAGCTACCCAGACGGACTGAGTAGTTGAACCTGTGGGCTCGGGACCATAGTTGCAGGGGACATCAAGCTCAATTGGCATAACATACTACACAAAACATTGTTCCACCTCCTACTTTGGCAAGTAGCAACTGGGATCTTAAAAGCTTGCAAGCAGCCATCTAGATGCAATGATGGGTCTCTCCTCGTCGAGAGCAAAGACGAATGAAGAAAACCAAAAATTCACGGAAACAATTAGTCCTAGCAACTGGTACACTATGCGATCCGCAGCCTATACAACTATGAGACTAGAGGAATTTGATGGTGCCCGGCTACCACTGTCAACAACTCAGAGGGGGATCTATGTAGGAGATCCTGGATAGAGAGGGAGACCAATGTGGAACAAAACTCAAAATCATTTGAGGAAAAAACAAAGGGGGGGGGGGACAGGTTTGCCAGTCTGATAGAGCCTGGTGGAACCACTGAGACTATGGCCCCTAGCTGCCCTTCAGGTCTGGAATTGAACCCACACCTGTGACCTCCAGCCAAACAAAAGACAGGCATATGAGTTGAACATTTACCTGAGGTAGATACACTCCTTGAAGAGAACAATAGAAAAATCATGGGAGGAAGAAGGGCTGTTTATGTACACGGAGACAGCTCAGGGGGCAGGAGTGCATGGAGGGATGGACACAGGGAAGAGGTAACTATCAGGAGGAAGTAGGAGAGGAGCTAATGCATTGTGGTAAATTGTAGTCAATGTCATGAGACAAAGTGTATGTGAACTGCTGTATGGAAAGTGAATTTGCTCTGTAAACTTTCACCCAAATCACAATTTAAAAAAAAAAAGTCAGTACAGAAAACTATCAAGACAGAGAGAGCTAAATTATATTCTGAATTTTCCTGAGCAATTTCCGCCAGTTTATTTTGCCTTCTGTCCTGGATTTCTCCATCAATATAACAGAATTAAGCCAGACAACAAGAAGAATGTGTTGTCATCAAAACACATTAAACATCTAAGAAAATATTTCTAATATAACCAAGAGTATATAAATTACATTCTATTATTCACAAACTGATGAACAGTTACAGACCATTTTTTGTTTTTGCTTCCCTATTTTTTTCTTAAGCAATGTTCTGCTATCCAGCAAAAGGGAAATCAGAAAAATGCAATGCCCACCAATCAATTCTGCTAATCATAGAGATTTTAACCAGATTCTAATCCCAAAAAAATTCCCTATCTGAGCTTCCTTTCCTGACCAGCATGCTCCCTTTCTCCACTGCTACATTTACTCAAAAAGGAGCTCTGGTGGCGTAGTACGTAAAGCTTTGACTGCTAACCAGAAGGCTGGCATTTCAAACCCACCAGCCACTCCACTGAAGGAAGACTGGGCAATCTACTTCCGAAAAGATTTATCTACTGCCTCAGAAATCCAAAGGGGGTCGCTATGATTCAGAATCGACTTGATGGCAGTGAGGTTTTTTTTTTTTTAAATTTGGTATATTTACTCAGATCCTCCTCATCCTGCCTATTGTCACTATATCCTAAAGATCTCCAGGCCTCCAAACTCCCTTCTGTTACATTTCAACCTTATCCCTGCTACCAGAAGGTTCTTCCTAAAGAATGCTGATCACTTCACTACCCAATTTCAGAAAACTTTCATGGCCAAACTTCCAGACACAGCATTCAAAATAGCCTTCCACAATCTGGATCCAGCCTTCCTATTCAACTTTACCTCTCAAGATTACCCTTTATCAAAAAAAAAAAAAAAGATTACCCTTTATCTAACCCAGTGGTTCTCAGCTGGGGGCAATTGTGCCCCCTAAGGAACATCTGGAAAGACTGTCTAGAGACATTTTTGGCAGTTATAACTGGGAGAAAAGTGCTACTGGCATCTAGTGGGAAGAGGCCAGGGATGCTTGCTACAATGCAAAAGACAGTCCCTCACAACAAAGGATTGTCTGGGCAAAAATATTAATGGTGCCAAGGCTGAGAAACTCAGCCATATCTACAATATATTACAATGTGTCCAAAGCATGGGGTGCAGGACACTATTTTAAGTAGTAGTGAAATGGACAGCCCACTAAATAACACTGAATCTACCACTGGTTGGAATGTAGAATGGTACAGCCACTCAGGAAAACTGATTGCTGTTTCTTGAAAAACTAAACATGCAACTTACCACATGATTCCGCAATTGCACTCCTGGCATTTACCCCAAAGAAACAAAAATTTATGTTCATATAAAAACCTACACACAAATGTTTATAATAGCTTTATTCATAAAAGCCACTACTACAAACAACCCAGATGCCCTTCAATGGTAAATGGCTAAACAAACTGGAAAACTACTCAGTAATAAAAAGGAATGAACTATTGATACATGCAATAACCTGGACATATCTCCAGAGAATGATGCCAGTAAAAAAAGCCAGTCCCATACTGTAACACACTACATAACATCCCTGAAGTAACAAAATTATAGAAAAGGAGAACAAAATAGTTGCCAGGGACTAAATAGGGGAGCAGTAGATGGGTAGGAAACAGGCATGGCTATAAAAGAGAACACGAATCCTTGTGGTTATGAAAATATTCTGTATGTTGTTGACTGTATTAATGTCAATATCCTAATTTTGTACTATAGTCTTGCAATATGCTAACACTAGGGGAAACTGGGTAAAGGATGCAAAGAATCTCTATTATTTCTTACAACTACCTGTGGATCTGTAACTATCTCAAAATAAAATTTAATTTAAAAAATAGCACTGAGTCACAATGCAGCAAAGCTGTGCCTTCCTTTGCCTATCTCAGGGCATCATCTTCTACAATGCTCTTCCGAGCTATATACTTTGTTTTATACTCCCTGATTAAGTCTGTAAGCCTGTGGAAAATAAGGATCGTGACTGACTTCTGTGGTCTAGTGAAGCATATAATGCGTGCTCAAAAAAAGGCTGTTCAATATTCCCTTATTTCTACAGTTTCATCTTCAAAACGGGCAACAAACGTAGAATATAGTAATTTCATTTCCACTTTATAGATGAGAAGCTGAAGATGAGTGACTTGCCCTTGGTCACACTGCTAGTAAACTGCAGACGCAGGATTCGATCTCACGGGTTTTGAAGATTTACGCATGGGCCCCTGTGATTCCTGAACATCATCCTTCCCCTCTCGGCTTCCCACGGAGCGACGCGACCCCTTAGCAGGGCCCTCCCTTGGCCTCCTGCAGGAGATAGCCGGGCGCGAGGGGAGCCAAAACCGATGGGCCGACAGAAAGCAAAGGCCCGGCAAGCGCAGCGAGAGAAAGAAACGAAGGCCCGGTCTCTGGTACGGGAGCGGGACAGGGCCCACCTGCTTAGAGCCGGCTCCTCGTCGCTGGGCTCTTCAACCGCGTAAGGATCGTAGTCGTCCAATAGCCGGTTCATAGCAGCCTGCACTTGCCGACACAGTCCACCGGGAAACAGCTGTGTATCTGTTTACTCCACCGGTGCCTTCCCTAAATGTCCTCCGACTTCACTTCCGCCCGCACTTCCGTGTCCTCCCTGCGCGCTTGCGCAGCCCGTTTCTGCGAGGGAGGAGGCAGGAGTAGGGAGTGGGTCCCTGTATCTCGACCATGGTCTCCTCAGCCCGGTGAGGTGAGGTACTCAGGTTGCTCCTCCCGGGTGGCTCTTTCCTCTTCCTCATCCCTGACATCTCCTCCGCTACTATCTCAGATTTCCAGTCGCCTGCTAAATATCTCCACTTGCGACACCACTGGCAACTCAGATTCAGTGTGCCTCAAAACCTAACTCAACATCGTCCACCCCGTTCTTGTACCTCAGCCAGTAGCTACTATTGACTCTTGAATCTGCACGTGTCACTTCTTCCATCCTCACAACTGCTATAGGCTGAAAGCCTTGGAGTAATAGTTGATTCCTTTCGCTGCCCCTCTGTTGTTGTTGTTGTTGTTGTTATGTGCCGTCGAGTCGGACCCGACTCATAGCGACCCCTCCGTGGGTTTCCGAGGCGGTATCACTACGGAAGTAGATTGTCCAACTACGGGCCCTCAATTCCCAAGTCCTGCAGATCTCTTATGAGCAATGTCTGTCTGTCTCTGTCTCTCTCCCTCTGTCTCTCTTTCTCTCTACCGCATCCCACCCCTCACCTTAATTATTGATATAGCCTCCTAATTGACATTCTAGCTTTGCTCTTTTTCCCTCTCCAATTCATGCCTTGTTCTACTGGCAGAAAGATCCACTTCCAGCACAGTTCTATTCTGGACAGTTTCTCTAAAAAGACCTAATATTGCACCTTTGTCTGCTGAGTCTATTCACTTTAGACTGTGATATTCTTGGCCCTCCACCATAGGATCCAATCCAACACGACCAACTAATTTCTCACTACACTCCTACACATATCCAGCATGGTTTGCTTATTCCAGAATATGTGTTATGCCTTTTCACCATTATGAATTTATGCTGTACCCTGGAACATCCTCTCCTACTTTTATCTCCAACTGTCCAAACCCTACTTGTTCTTCAAGATCTACCTGCAAGCACTGGACGGGTCAGTAGTTGGACAGAACAACTTTTAGGATACCTTTCAGCCCTGAGATCTGGTACTCATAGGAGTTCACATGGTACCTCTTCTTGATGCTCTTTTTGAGTCTCCTCTCCATGTGATCTTTCCTTGCTTTAACACTTGTAGCATATTGTACCAGTCTCATGCCACTCTCATGAGAAATTGTGTTCCTCTTCAGAGCTATGCCCTTAAATCCCTGTTCATTCTTATCCACAAAAGCTGGACCAATTAAATTCTTCCTCTCATGAATTTAAAATTGAGTTAGAGATTCTAGGGAGTCAGGTGTGGTCCTAGGATTCATAACAGGACAAGTAAATTGAGAGGTGGAGGCTATCGTGTTGGGATGTATATGTGCTGTTAATGAGCAAGCAAAAAGAAACAGGAATATAGAGCAGACAGAAAAGTAAAGAGGCTCTTTCTGGTCTCCTTATCTAAAACAACCTTCATTCCCATCCTCCTCTCTCTATCCCTCTTCTCTGTCATTCTTTATCCCTTAACCCACCTTTTTTCTTCAACTTTTTGTTTCCCTACCATCTATCTCCCTACTCCACTTATCTATTGCTAGACAAAAAGGTACCCCAAAACTTAAGAGCTTTGAAACAGCAATCAAATATTCTGATCAAAAATCTGCAATTTTGGCAGAGATAACTCTACTCCCTGATGTCTAAGGCCTTGGCTGGGAACTGAAGCAACTGGGGGCTAGATGCAAATTTCTTTTTCCATACATTTTCTCCATGAAGCCATGGGCTTCCTCATACCATGTCAGCTCAAGTCTCCAAGATAATGTTCCCAGAGACCCAGATAAAAGCTGCAGGTCTTCTTCTGACCTAACCCCAGAAGTCCCTGATTGTCACTTCTGCCACATTCTATTGGACTGGCTATTCACTGAGGACAGCCCAAATTCTCCTCTCAAGGAGAGGAGAATTAGACTCTGTCTCTCAATGGGAGAAGTAGCAAAGAATTTGTGGTCATCATTAATCTCCCTTATTCCCCCATTAGACTGTAAACTCCAGGAAAATAGTGCTCTGGTATATCTTGTTCACTACTGTATCACCTCCATCACCACTTGGCATGCTCCAGGGATGTGTTTGGGACACAGGGATGGGCAATTAGAGTCATAGTGATTATTTTAGGGATAACCCAAGGTGGAACCGGGAGCTCTGGTAGCATAGTGGCTAAGACACTTGCCTGCTAACCAGATGGCTGGCGGTTCAAACCCACCAGCCACTCCTCGGAAGGAAGGCTGGGCAATCCTACTTCCGTAGTGATACTGCCTCGGAAACCCAAGGAGGGGTCGCTATGAGTTGGGGCCGACTCGACGGCACATAACAACAACAACAACAAGATGGAACCAACTGGTCTCCCAGGACTTTTCCTATACCTCTTGAATAAGTACTATCTTTTCTTGGGAATGACAAGGTATGGACACAAGTCAAGTGCTGCCAGTAGCCATCTCTGCCAAGATGGGGAATGCAATGCAAATGCAACGCAACCACTGCTGTGGAGTCGGATTCGACTCATAGCAACCCCTCCTTGGGTTTCCAAGGCAGTATCACTTCAGAAGGAAGACTGGGCAATCTACTTCCAAAGTGATACTGCCTCGGAAACCCAAGGAGGGGTCGCTATGAGTTGGATCTGATTCCACAGCACACAACAACAACAACAGCAATCACTATGGAAGTAGATTGCCCAACCTTCCTTCCAAGGACTGGCTGGTGGGTTTGAACAGCCAGCCTTCTGGTACCCAAATGCCTTAGGCACTGTACATCCTATGACCCAGCAGTCCCATTTGAGGAATAGCCCTTTACTTTTAGAAACTTAATTTCACAAATATAAGAAAGACTAGGTTCAAAGTCATTTGTCATACCTCTGCTGTTATACAGGCAAAAAAAAAAAAAAAAAGTAATCTAAATTTTTTTTTTATTATTTCAACATAGTTTCAGACACATTTAATTCCAGACACTTAGAAAAGTTGCAAGAAAAGTATAGAGAATTCCTGGATACTATTCACCCTGATTCCCCATATATGTATATCTCTCCTTTTCCATTTCTCTCACTCATTCCCGGCTCTTCCCCTCAAATCCCCACACACACCTGCACTCTCCTATTTTTTTCTTGAACCATTATAAAAAACGACATGGCATTATTTGTGGGAGCTGTGGGGGCAGTGCTGACCGCCTCTAACTTCACAAGGTTGGGAGGAGGCTTAAGATCAACAGTCTAAGGCTGATTTCTATGACGTGGAGATTAGACATGCCTCTACTCTCCAACCTTTTTACCAATTCTGACACCAGCCATCCCTCCCAGCACTCTCTACTTCTTGCTGGGTTCAATAATTCATTGCAATGGCCAAACAACTCACACCAATACTCATGACTATGGGGCTTATTAGGGAAGTAACAGATTACAATTCAGGATCAGAAAAAAATCATGATACAGTTCTTCAATCAGGACAGCTTCTTCACAGCAGGCCCACCTCACTCTCCACCCCTCAGCCCTCCTGGCCCCACAGAAAGTGTTACAAAGTTCTTTTAGCTTTGCCAATAAATGCCTAGATGCACCCCACTCTGCCATTAAGCCTTGGTATGAAGGTGCTCAGCTTTCTCATTCTATGGGGCCAGGGGCCAGGCGCCTACTGAGCTTTCTTCTGCTGGTTTGATTCCGCTGCTGCCCGTTTCATCTCTCTGGTGTTAGAACTCTCTGTCTCCTGGATCAAGGAGGCTTAGCACAGGGATCTTGGATCCAAAGGACATGATCTTCTCCTGGCTCTTCATTCTTGATGGTAGTGAGATCCTCCCTTTTGCCTCGGGATGGCTCATTTTAAGCCAACAGGATGGCAAAATGGACCAATCCCCACCTTAGGGTTCCATACACTTTATTTGCATGGCCCCACCCCCACAAAGGTGCCATGCACCTTATTTACACTATTAGCTAGCTATCCAGTCCCGTAGGTGGGCCAAAAGTACCTCACATTTGCATAGTCTTACTAGTCATTTGGTGAGAGTTACAAGATTATGGCTACAAGGGTCATATTAAGTAATTCATTGCACTGCAACCTTTCAAGAGTATGCTGCACGAATGATGTCCCTTCACCCATAAACATTTCAGTATGAACTTCAAAACCCAAAATTCTCTCACATAGTGTTCTGGTTACCTAGTGCCGCTATAACAGAAAATATACCGCAAATGGGATGGCCTTAACAAATAGGAGTTTATTCTCTCACAGTTTGGAGGCTTTAACTCCAAGTTCAAAGTGCCAGGCTCTAGGGGCTGTGTGAAAGCCCCTCGACCTTGGGCTTCAGCTTTGCCTCTGGCTTCCACCCACTGAAGCTAGAGGCATCTCTTCACTCAGGTAGCTACTGGCTGCTGAGGCTAACAACCCCAAGGTTGACAAATAAAATGGCACAGTCCCAAACCACACAGCAGGCCATTAATTCAAGTCCATAGCAAGTCCCACAGTCAGCAGAACATGGCAGGCTGCTGAACAATGACATGGCTACATGCAGGGTTCAAGGTGCCATAAGCTAGAGACCATTCCCAAAGCTGCTTCTTATATACCGGAAGCAGACCACATCCCTAAAGCAGCTACTGAGCTGCTTGTGGTAGGTCCCACCATGGAGTTGATTGCCAGTCTCATCATGGGGGATAACTACCACCAGCTGCCCAGCTACTCAATCAGGCCTAGCCAAGTTAACACACAAACATAACCACCATAATTCCACCCCTTGTCAACTTGGCACCTATACAGATCTCCCTCACTGGGTGACTCCAATCCCCTAGTTCCTGAGTGGCGACCTCACCCTTGGCCTGGTGGGCCCCGTTCCTCTCCCTCTTGGGCATGGCAGCCCAGCCCCCTCACTCTTGG